AGAGAGAGAGAGACGGGGCGATGGAGCATTAAGAGACCGGCTCCTCGAGAGATATATCTCTCGAACAAGATCTTCTTGCTCCGCGTTTGAGAAAGTCCGAGTCTCATCTGCGCTCGTCGAGTTCCTCGAGGACGGCCCGAAATGGAATCATCGATCGATCGCCCGATCGGCTCTCGCGGGGCGAACCTTTCAATCATGCGACACCTATCAACCGCAGGGCTCCCAGTGTTCCAAATGAGACCCTATGTTCCGGAGCGGGCCACGAACACGAAAAAGTGAGTTCGGCCCTCCACGATACTATCAGTGATTCATGAGAAACATTCGGATATATATTTGGATCGTCCCGGTAACGCGGCTCTCCCGGCTCGCGGTGAAACGACCGCGGTAATCTATGACATCTCGCTCGACCGGCTAGATAAACGGCGGCGAATCGCGGCGAAATTCCGTGTCGAAAACCGAGGCTTATAATTGCGATGGTCGCGCGTCGGATCGGCCATAAAGATCGCCGCGCGATCGTTTCAATTACATTTCTGTCTGATATTGTCATATTCGAAATGCGCGTTTCGTGAATGTTAGATTTTATCTCGCAATCTTATGAGCAATCTGTTGCGCAATATTGAGCTACGTAAGCGGAAATATATATTTTTGAGAATAATGATATAAGATATCATTAGAAAAGAATTAAAATTTATTAAATGACGAGGCGACAAGTTCCGTCATTAATTTTTCCACAAATATTCTCAATATTTCTCTTTCATTCAAGTTTTACTTCGCTTGTATGATTTTTAAATAAATTATAAACCTATATTGTAATTATACACATATATTATATACATTTAAAAATTATTAGTTATAACCTGCGTATGAAAATAGAAATTTGTTTCCATCGTTTACATTACGGCTCTCTTCACTTACTATTACTTAGATTGTGACAGAAGTGAGAAAATATGTAATAATTTTTGCAAAATATATTTAAATAGAAATACTTTTTAATAGAATATATAATTAATAGAATAAACCTATAAAATTGTCTCTTGTTGAATAGAAATTGTTTTTTTGTTTTGGAGAAAATTAAATCATATTTACTTCTGCATATTATTAATTTGACAATTGTTATAGCTATAAATTTAGCTTTTTTCATTTTTCATTTTGCATAATTTATTTCTAGATATATATTGTTATTTATTTATTAATGAACTAAAGGAAAAATTTTATATTTTATCGCTTCTATCGATTGTAAGTGTTGCTTAAATATATTTCCATTTTAACATCATATATTTAACATCATATATTTAATATCTATATTAATAATTTTGCAAGAATTTTTGTTGTATATTTTTTTCGTTTCTAACGTCACAAGATAGTAGTAATGAGTGAACAGGAGTCTTAAGAATGTTTTTAGAAATATAACAATCGTCAATATATATATATATATATATATATATACATACCAAATAGATATTTTATTATATACATATATCTTATACATGTGTTATACATAAAGTATTACATTATAAATATTTTAAAACAATACATACTTTGAATCAAACGAAAATACGCAATGAGTCCACAGAACGAAGCGCAAAATGTACGATAATAGTCTCTTCATCGAGATTAGCTTGAAATATAATGGAAAATATTTTTGGCGTATTTCGTATTAAATGTTCCGTTGTGGATCGCTGGTATGCGGCGCGGCGTTTATTTTTTCATTGCCACCGTTTCGTAAACAAGGTCATCGTACTCAATCATGTTATCATTCGCGCAGCGACACTCGGACGGGTAGGCAGTGACGCGAGTCGCTCCGTGTTTTGCGTTATTATCTCTCGATTTCTACAATTTCGTAATTCCGAGAACCGAGAAACAAACAAAAATGCTTCTAGTTTCTAGTTAATTATTAAAGATCATCGACCGATGTGATTATCCTACCAATTTTCATCGGTTGTGGTGTGAACACGATATATCGCGCTTACAATTTGAAGATAGTTTGTTGATCATTTCCGAATTCGAGATGTGAAATAATATATGAATCACGAATACAAACAAATACAAACTCAAATAACAAGAAATAGAAAAAAAGATTTGCCGATGACGTGCCCCGCGGAAGACTTACATGCCTTAAACATATTTACTATATATTTTCGGCAATCTTAATTCTTTATCGCGTCTTAATTACTATAGTTTGGTATCGCTCGGTGTAGCAGAACAAAATTGCTAACTTTCGATAATGAATGAAGGCAGATATGGAAGTACACGGAATGGAATTTTGTGAGCACGGTCCTGATTATAAATAACTTTCTACCGTCAATATTCGTCTCGATCATTTCAGAGCGTAAATTCGGCATTGAACAAATTGATATTGATATCAACGCTTTGTTGAAAGCACGGATCTCTTGCGAAAAACTACCACGAGATCGAAACCCGGTCGAGAAGTCCGCTACATCTCCGAGCACCGCAATTTCGCTCTCACTCGTTCGCTCGAGTGTGTGTATCTCAATAAGAAAAACGGTAATCGCCCTAAAATACGAAAAGTGTTGTTTGTTTAAAGCTGCGCGGAGAAGAGTGCACGGAAGTTCAGGTAGGAGCAACAGGTGCAGCGTCATCGCGGCGAGCAACGCGTGAAATTTTCAATTTTCGAATCCTCTTCGTCGCGGGATTCATCCGTCGATCGTGCCGCGCCGATATTCGCGAAACCGTAATATCGCGGATAAATCGTAACATCGCGTTTTCTTTTCGTCCGTATTGTTTGTCGATTACAATTAACCGGACCAGGAGTGCCGTGCAAAATATCGCGCGATCGTAACTAGAACTCATCTTCGCGAGTGAGTGCCATGGACGAGCGACTACGAGGCGAAAGAGGAGGAGGAGGTCTGGGAGGCATCGGGCGCCGGCGGAGCACCCACGAGGTAAATAATTTCTCGTTTGCTTGATTCTCAGTACTCAATTAAGTGTTGTCCTTGGCACGGAATTAATTGTTCAGCCTCGCGACGTCACGACTCGCACGGCGCGTCCCGCCATCTTGCATTACGCGTCAGTAAAATTAGATATTAAATTTACGCGATGTTCAGACTTATCATCTTGAATTATTTGTACGAAATTAATTAAATGTGCCTTGTGATGATAAAATTTTATAATCAATAATTTTATAATCTCTGCTTTCTCGTAGAGAAAGATTCCTTTTGCACGAATTACATAAATATTCTATTTAATTTCCGTCTGAAAGAGATAATAAATGCACATACAAAACTGTGCGTAAAAATTATGACTTCTAAAAATATTAAATTATCTTTGCCGCTGCTATAATTTGGATTTCGTATTTTTATTTTACAGATCAACGTAGACAACAACTCCGCTGCTGCGCATCGTATCGGTGAGTGTCACGTTATCTTACTTATCTTAATTCAAACTTATGATATATTTCCAGACTATATATAATCATTCCTCGATTCAAAAATGCAGATAAAATTTTCAACGTAAAATAGAGCTTATTTATTATTATCGATACAACTGCCTGATCATTTACTGACATCTTACCTCCATTTCCATCTATATAAATTAATCTTGATCTCGATTTAATTTACCCTTTATCTTCTTCTAATTTATAAAATTAAAAAAAATAAAAAGTGAATCAAGATCAAAATTAATCTATATTGGTGGAAGAAGTTTAAAAAAAGGTCAAAGAAGGCAGAATTGTCGTATGATTTCAGCCTTAATTAATAAAATAAAAGATATGCTGTTACATTGATCACGGAATATTATGTATAGTCGGGAATGACGATGACGATAATTTGAGACCACCAGAAGTTCCACTTCCACGGGTGGAGCGTGTCCCGGAGCGTGAAAAAGATCGCACCGTGTCACGCGACGTGTTCGCCACTCTCATTGGTTCGACTTTCCAACAAAGATCGTGAACGCCCCCGCGCACGCACACGAACCGGTGTTCTCGTGACCGGTGATAATATTCTCAGCCACCATTTTTACTTCTATCCCCCTTTTTTTGTCCGTTTTACATCGCCATTTTGCCGATCTGTATTCGAGGACGAATCGTCCAATAAATTACATAGAGGTACCATTTGTTAAGAATCTCACGAACAGACAGATTTAATGACGAGTTTAAACCGAGTACTATATAAAACATCCAAAATTCTAAGTTTATTCTACAAAAACGCTTGAAACGAAACTTGAAAATAAATTTTAAAAAGTTCGAAGGGTGAAAGAGACGAGATTAATAGAAAAAATGTGTAAAGAGGCTCTTACCGAACCCGTTGTGCAACTCGTCACTCCAAATATAAAGATTATTTTGACGCTTTTTACTTCTAGAGTACCCCGGAGTACGTAAAGATTTCGCGATCGAGTCGATTTTCTTCTTGCGACCGAAAAAAATTTCTTTTTTCGCGAACGTCTGGTTCGATCCGCAATTATCCGCCTTAGGGGGAGGGGCATTATAAATTTCGCCGGCAATCGCGTTGCGCGATCTTACCGGGCTGCGCGTACACGTGCGCCTACGAGGGGAGTATGCAAAACGTGAGCAGCCAGATATCGGCTTAAGCATAAATTCCTCAAGCGTTGTGACACACGTACGCCGCGGCCATAATCTCACTAGCGGCGTACGCCAGGGGAGGGTGGCAGGAGACGGGTGAAATCTGCGCAAACCGCGCAATATCGTCTCAGATTTATGGCCCAGTGAAGATAGGTCGACGAGATACTCGTCACACGATGAATCGGCAACGACGTTCATCGGCTACACGCGCGCGCGCGCGCGCACGCGTGCATCCGGCCGCATCTCCAATCCGGATTCCTAATTGCCAAAATTGGCTCGTCCTCGCATCACGGTTGTCGACTGGCCTTTTCGAACAGCGCTAACCGTATCATTTAAAGGTTGTTAAAACCTTCGGTATAACGCAATTTGCATCTCACACCTCATCTTTTTTACTCGAACGAAGAAAGTTTTCAGTTTCGAAAATGTCAAGATGTTTTCTCTCTCTTTTTGCTTCTTCTAATCATCCGGATAAAATAAATTTTTATATCGCATTATAATGTATATAGCATTATAAGTATCTATGTTTATAAAACAAATTACAAACATTAAGAAAAAAAAAATTTAAGGATATGTTATACTCTCATTTTTATTTACTATGACAAAATTATGATATAATTACAGGTTATTCTAGATCACTAGATTTAAAAGTAAGACAAAAAATTTCGCGATGGTTTAGAATCTAGACGATTTAAAATCGTTTAAATATAGTAGAAATGTCCTATAATAGAAATGTAATTAAGAAATAATGATAACTATTTCAATTTTTTTATATAAGTATTTTAAATATTTAAGATTATTTATGTAAAATTTCATTGTGATGCAGATATTGGTTAGTTGTTTTGAAATAAAAATTAAATTTTTATTTAAGAAACAACTAATCTCTGCATCACAATGAAACTTTACATAAATAATCTTGAATGCTTAAGACACTTATATAAAAAAGTTAAGAGGTTCGTTAGCATTTCTTAATTGCATTTCCATCCAGAGCATACTATATTTATTTATTTAAATAATTTTTCTCTTTTTCTAAACCGTTGCTAAACCTCTTTGTATTATTTTAAAATGCGATTTAGAATAATTCGTAATTTTTTTCATTGTAAATATAAAAATTACAAAAACTGATGACACATCCCATGAAGCATTATAATTTTTGATGAATTGTAAGTACTAAAAAGTACAACTCGCCGTGATATTAATGTATCGCGCGTATATTAAATATACATCGAGAACACAGCATACGGACTCACTTGCAGCTCGCGAGTATACCGAAACAAAATCTCCCGTGCAGCCGCTGTCTTCGGGGTGGCTTATTACGCCAGTTACTCGTTAACGCGCGGCTTACATGCCCGTACATTGTGCGGTGTGGTCCAGTGGTGCGTGGGGTCGATAATACAAAGCCGAAGAATGCTCGAGGAGGACACTCGACGCGAAAGTGCGCATTGTCAGGCACGCGCTGCCACTACAGATGGCCGCATGGCACTTCCCCCGAGTGCGCCGCATATGCCGCGAATCAGTTGTGAAACCTATCCGGCCGATTGTCCGACAGTGTAATATGCACTCGCGTGCAAATTCGAGGCGGTTACACGTGTACGCGGAACTTCCTCCCTCGAGAGAGGCTCGCTTTGCGAGAATCTCCCGGCTGCGTTCCGGAGCGAAAAGGTGAAACGAAAAAGATGAACGATCGCAAAAGCGCGTAGCGATCGCGAGGAACGCTGGGATTCTCGGATTATTATTAGGAGATCCCGCGAGGAATTGTTTCTCATGAGATATCGCGTTTTCAAGAATCGGTATTAAATACCTCGCGCTACGTTCTAAGCGATCCGATTTGATGCAGGCATTATCGCGTCTGATTATATACTATATATATTTATGCATGCGCATACATTATCCCGCTATCGTTCTCTCCCACAATCTTTAAAAAACTTCCGGACTTGGATATATCGGATCATTATTATAAGATTTGTTAAGCGCAATCTTTGATCTATGAAATACCGTAGATATTCTTTCACGCGATATTTATTTTCGACACGATGCCCGCCGTTTTATCTCGGGCACAGTCCGGTTAATTACGAGCGCGAATTCAAGCTGTTGTCTAGCTGCAAATCCATTTCCCCGAGTACTGTGACATGGCGGCACAATAGGGAATGTCCGGTCCAGTGTTATTGGCCGATAGATAGGGCAAGGGAGGTCTAAGGGGGTCTAAAATCGAGAGCACCACCGGTGGCCCTCGCTGTCCTTTTCTCCCATTCTTCCGTTTCTCCGGCGATCCTCCACAGAGCCGCTGAGTGAATTGAAACAATGAGGCTCAACTACTAACGCGCAACTCTTCGACACTCGAGTCATCCCTGAAGTGCGTTTTGTGCAGGGGTGCAGGCGCCCCTGTCATGCACGACGGTAGCTGCGGTAGGTAGGTTCGGGGACGAGAACGGAATTACTGTTTACGAGAGATCGACAATGAAACCGGCGAGAGAATCGCCGGAGGACGGGTTTGCTTCACTTCCATCGTGATGTACAGATCCCGTAGGGATGACTACGTTTGAGCTTAGCAAATCCACAAACGAGCCCGAATATATTTTTACACGTTTACATGTCATAATGAAAGCAAGATATAAGTTAAGAATAATAGAAAAGAAATAAGAAAAGTTGTATTTGATATAGATGAAGGATAGCAGAAAGATAGTAAAAGTGAAAATTTATTTTTTATTTATATACAATAATTTTATCTACCTGCCTTGATTAAAAAAGGATTGGGAATATCTAATATCTCCTAAGTTGAATTGAAATAACTATTTAGGTACATTTTTTAATGCGTATCATTATTATAATCATAGGAATATGTTCATTAAGGATATATTACACTTATTTTTATTTATGATGAAGAAATTGAATTGAATTATGAAAAAATTATAGATTATTTTAAAAATAGAAAATTTTAGAACAATAAAAAAAGTTTATGATGGTTTAAAATCGGGATCAAAAATTATTTAATTATAAAGTAGAAATGTGTTTTAATAGAAATGTAATTAGGAAATCTCAACATAA